GACAGTTTCTCATAAAGTTAAAGATATACTTACTTCATGACCCAGCAATTCTACTCCTAGGTATTTATCCATGAAAAATACAAACATTTATCTGCACAGACATTTGAACATAAAAGTTTATGGTTGTTTTATATATAATGGCCCAAACTAGAAACAATCCAAATTTTCATCAGGAGCTGGTATATAAATATTGTGGCATATACACACAACAGAATGGTATTCAACATTAAAGAAAATGAATTACTGATATATAGCAATACAGGTGAATGTCAACAACATTAAGTTATAGCAAGGAACCTAGACATGAAAAAGTTTTTAATGTATGATACAATTTATATGGAGTTATAACAGGCCAAACTAATGTCTAGTGATAGAAATCAAAACAAAGTTTACCTCTGATGGAAGGGTGATTGGATAGGGACATAAGGTGAGGGAAATGTATATATTAATACATTCTGGGTTGAGGGAAATGTATATATTAATTGGAATAACAGTAACACATATATATGCATATAGTCAAAAACCATTGAACTGTATACTTAATATGTATGTGTTTTATTTTATGTAATGTACACTTCAAAAAATAATAATTAGAGAGAGAAAATAAAACATTATTACTAAAGGGGGCATAGCCAATGTTAAATATAAAAGACAGGAATTTAGATTTATAAAGAAGCAAGGCTAAGATACCTAGAGAACAAGATTTGCTAAAATTTAAAAGGACCACATAGAAGTGGAGCTTGGTATGAAGTAGGCATCAATCCTGTATATGTGTAAACAAGGTTAACTGATGACAAAGAAAAAAGAACTCTCAACAAATTTTTTTCACTCTTAAGAACACTGGACTTGTGAGTTTAAAATAAGAGTAAGCAGCTGTAAGAAGAGTGCATTGAAAAGGATTTAGAATAGCTACCTGAAGTGGCTCAAGGAGAATTGCCTCCCAGGATAGGGAGTACCTTCAGGTGGCTCTGACACACTGATATGAGTACGTGTCACTGTGTGAGGAATTGGATGAATCATGGGAAGAGGAGAGAGGAAAACAATATTCCATGCAAATGGAAACCAAACAAAGGTGGTGTAGCCATTCTCATATCAGATAAGATAGACTTCAAATCAACAATAGTAAAGAAAGACAAAGATGGTCATTATATAATGGTAAAGGGAGCAATTCAATAGGAAGACATAACAATCCAAAATAATTATGCACCTAATACAGGTGCACCTAGATTCATAAAGCAAAGCCTACTAGATCTAAACAAAGTAATAAACAGCAGCGTAATTGCTGGAGACTTTAACACCCAGTGACAGAACTGGATAGATCCTCCAAGCAAAAATAAACAAAGAAGCTTTGTTTATTTTATGGAACTCTAGAATAGGCATAACATATATTTACAGAACATTCTACCCCAAAACTACTGAAAATACATTCTTCTCATCAGCACATGGAACATTCTAAGATATATCACATTCAAGGCCACAAAACATGTCTCAACAAATTTAGAAAAATAGAAATTATACTATGTCTCTTCTCAGACCACAGTAGAATTAAATTAGAAATCAATTCTAACAGAAACATTCAACATTATACAAAGTCATGGAAATTAAGCTATCTACCACTGAAGGATTATTGAATCAAGGGTAAAATTGATATGAAAATCAAAAGATTCTTCAAACTAAATGACAAAGGGGACACAAGTTGTCAAAGCCTGTGGGATTCAGCAAAAGCAATCTTAAGAGGAAAATTCAAAGCCTTAAAGGCCTATACTCAAAGGACAGAAAGATCACAAATCACCAATCTAATGAATTGTCTCAAGAAATTACAAAAGGAAGAGCAAAACAATCCCAAATCCAGCAGAAGAAAAGAAGTAACTAAGGTCAGAGCAAAACTAAATGAAATTGATAATAAAAGAGCTACACAGAAAATTAATAAAATAAAAAGTTGGTTCTTCAAAAAGATGAGCAAAATTGACAGTCCTCCCATTATATTAACCAGAAACAAAAAAGAAAGGACCCTAATTAATAATCTCAATCAGAAATGTAAAAGGAGATATTATACCTGATACCACAGAAACACAAAACACCTCTGTGCCTTAAGAGGAAAGAGGAAATGTGTGATCAGAGAAGAGGATAGGTGCACTTTCACTGGAGCTGGGACCTTTGGTCAAGTGATATTGACAGCACAAGACAATGCTTACAAGGGGGATGAACCACTCTCCTCCCTTCTCCAGTCTGCTGCTGGTGCTGTCTTTTGACTCAACCAAACTGAGAATCAAATGGCAAGTGTGCCTGCTGATGTAGTCCATGCAGGACGGCCTCACAGGACACACAAGAGGGTAGAAAATGGTGGTAAATAAATACGGAAGGGCATAAGAAAACATCTACATTTGATACAAATGTAAAAAGTAGTTTGAATTTACCCATTAAAACAAATTGAAGTAAAAAAGGAAAGTAGCTGGATAGGGCAGACACATTAAATAATTAAGTGGGCATGTTAATACATAGTAGACCTATGAGAGAAGGATGGTATAAAACATGTATAGATTATTTCTACCTATATTCATACCCATAGACACAGGGTATAACTAGCTATCTATTCGTACTGTAAACATGAATATAAAGTAAAATATGTTTGAAAATATCTATGCCAAACTATTAACTGTGTTTACTTCTAGGGAGTTGTGGCACCCAACTGGCAAGAATGGAAGACTTTCACTTTTTATAGTTGCATAACTTTTATCTTTATTCTGAGAATGTAGTACTTTTATCTCTTTTTTTAAATGCATAGTTAAAAGAAAATAATCTGAGGCATGAGGAGAAAAAAGAAAGAGCTATGATCTCTAGGACCCCACAAAACTTCAACAAGAACATTTTTTTTCATCTTATTTAACTTTTATACAGACTTACTAATTGTGTAGATGAGAGAAATGTACAAGCAAGACCTTTGACAGTTTTCAGAATGTCATTGAGGATAAGCTGGAGAAATGTGTTTTAGTTGATCATACACCTAGGAATGTTTGGACCCCAAATCCTCATGATGCAGTATTTTCCATGGTCTGTCCTATGCCCTACTTTGATCATTTGTATATTAGGGACTTGTATTAACTTATAAAATGACATGATAAAAACACACTGCTTAGCGAAATGTGTGATCTATCAACTGAATGAGAGCCAAAAAGAAAAAAGAAAAAATCCTGACAGCAGAAAATAGACCAGTAAAATAAGACATCATCAGATATAAATATAAGGTTCCAAAATTGAGAAAAAAAATAAAATCATTTACATGAATACAGGATTGAATAAATATGGCTTATCAGAAGCATGTGTTTATTTATTTTTTTTTATTTCAGAATATCATGGGGGTACAAACACTTTGGTTGCATATAATGCCTTTGCCTTGCCCAAGCCAAGGCTACAAGTGTGTCCTCCCCCCATACAGAGTGCTCAGCATCCATTAGTTGTGAGTTTACCCACAGCCACCAGCCCCATCCCATCTGACTGGCACCCTGTGAATATTACTTCCATGTGAGCACCTTAGAGTTGATCAGTTAGTTCCAATTTGATGGCTAGTACACGTGGTGCTTGTTTTTCCATTTTTGTGACACCTCACTTTGAAGGATGGACTCAAGTTCTATCCAGGATAATATAAGATTTTCTAGTTCACCATTGTTTTTTGTAGCAGAGTAGTATTCCATGGTATACATATACCACATTTTATTAAACCACTCAGGTATTGATGGGCACTTGGGTTATTTCTACATCTTTGCAATTGTGAATTGTGCTGCCATAAACATTCGAGGACAGATGTCTTTTTTATAGAATGTCTTTTTTTCCTTTGGGTAGATACCTAGTAGTGGGATTACTGGATCACATGGTATTTCTATTTTTAGCTCCTTGAGATATCTCCAAATTACTTTCAATGGGGGTTGTACTAATTTGCAGTCCCACCAGCAGTATAAGAGTGTTCCAATCTCTCCACATCCATGCCAGCATTTGTTGTTTGGGGACTTTTTTTTATTCTCAGAGGAAAATTAGGTAATATTATTTTACATAATTTATTTTAGTAATTCACAGTTGATGAACTACTTTCATATTCATCTCATGTAATTTTTGTGACAACTTTATTATGTAAAGAATGTTATCTCCATATTATAGATGAAATTGAGGCTCAGAGTTTAAATGACAGTTAATATTATACAGGCAGAAAATAGCAGAGATAACATTCAAACTTATATCTTCTCTCTTATGTTTTCCTCACCATAGCAAAATGTTGTTAATATATCTGCATTTTGAAGAATGAAACAACTTTTGCTACCTCAAAGCAATAAATAAGGCCATTCTCACTGGAGTTAGGTGCTATCTCATCGTGGTTTTGATTGCATCTCCCTAATGATTAGAGATATTGAGCCCTTTTTTATATGTATGCTGGCCATTATTCTGTCTTCTTTTGTAAAGTTTCGGTTCATGTCCTATGCTCACTTTTTGATGGAGTTGTTTGATTTTTTTCTTGTTACCTTTTGTAAGTCTTAGAGACTCTTGTTATAAACCCTTTATCAGATGTGTAGAAGGCAAATATTTTCTCCCATTCTGTAGGTTGTCTATTCAATATAATGATAGTTTTTTGGGCTGTGATGAAGCTTTTTAAATTGATCAGGTTCTATTTATTTATTTTTGTTGATGATGTGATTGATGTGGGGTTTTCTTCATAAATTCTTTGCCCAGGCTGATATCTATAAGAAACCATAAGAATTATAGAAGAAAATGTTGAGAAGCATGTGTTTAACTTGAATAGGTTCAATAAGTATTATGATATGGCTCATTACAAAACTCAATTGATTTATACCACATTCACAGAGTAATAATTTCAAGAAAGCTGATCAGATTATACTGCGATTTTTTTGTATTAAGTGGAGCATGCATTCATGTTAGTGACAAAGTTTTAAAGCCATATCTTATAGACACTGATCAGAAGATTTTTCTTTATATTAGTCTGAAGAAAACCACATGAAGTCACAGGAGCTTTACCTCATGTAGAAGAAAACTTGAGCCTTTTAGTGTGGTTCTAGATACATGGATACAGAGACAGATTCCAGCTCCACACAAAGAGGACATTTCTGACAGAATAGTCTGACCAGAGTCGACTGCATTAGAAGGTAATGAGCTTTCCGTCACTGAATGAAAATGGTCAAAACAGAAAACAGTTTTGGGGAGATAATTTGTAGATGATATTCAAGCAACTAATGCCCTTCAGATATTTTCAAACCTGGGATTCTATGGTTCCATATATCTTCTATTTTTTAATAGAGAAAAGTATGACTTCCTCTGGTCTCCAAATCAGCACTTTTATGCTAAATTACATTATTCTGTTTTTTTCTTTATCTTTACCATATGGTAAGAACTTAGGATGTTAAAAGAATTGTTAATAAAAGGACCAGCCTACTGGGCTGCTGGATTCCTGCTAACCTGCTGCCAAAATTAATTCTTTCCAGTTTTTAAAGTTCTTCATAGACTCTCCCTTCTATACATACAAATTTTCTATCTGTGGCTATCCCTGCTTACTTTTTCTGTTCCTTTTAAATATTTTTCTCCTGAGGTGTCTTACTTCTGACGCCTTATCTTTCTGGAACTATTTACCTCCTATGAGTTGCTAAGTTCTACTTTCTAACTTCTCCAACTGTGATTGACACTTCACTCTCATGACCTTTCCCCTATCGTGAGCAATGCCTTTTAGTCTTTTTTTATTATAAATCATCTGACAATATGTAGTTCTATATTTTCAACTTTTTAACCTCTTCTTACATTATCTTTATTTTTTAAATTTCTTTCCCTTTAAAAACATTTTTCTTTATATATTTCCTATTATTTTATATATAAAATGGGTGTTAATTATACAAGTATTAATTTTTATGAATGCAAAATTTTTTATTGTATCTGTGATATGTGGTTAGTTCATTTCTCTACCCATGTAACATAGTTTTTGTTGTATCTCTCTCCTGCCAAACATTTTTTATTGCCCCAGAAAAATATTCAGCTTATTGATATTTAATAACCACTAGAAAAAATTCACTCCAAAACTTTTAGCTTTTACTCCAATAATTCATGCATAATCATTCAAGGGAAGATGGTATAATCTATTAAAAAGCAATCTTACTCTTGGTCAGTCAAGCATAGGAAGAATCTTAAAGAATGTACAAAGAGACTCAATATTTGAGCTAGGTTTAAGTCATATTTTTCAAAATATATAGTGTCCATGGAATTGGTTTGCATGGAGTAGACTAAAGTAGCTTTTAAAGTTTATGTAATTTTTTTTTTTTTTTTTACCTCAGGTCCTAATGAGACCTAGGGCCAATATTTTATAGACTCTAAGAATACTTCATGCATTCACCCTTATTATGGTCAAAAGGAAAATCTTTCTTTTTTGGAAGAACTCCTTCTTCTTCTCCAGAACACTAAAAACTCATGAACCCTGGCTTTTCTAGATAAGTAGCTTTAACAAAGTCATCAGCAGTGTCAACCAAAGATTTACTTCTTTGTATATCTAACAGATACAGAATCATCCTCTTAATATTGAGTTGTGATATGAAATGAATTAAGTATCTTTAATACCTATTTGAGCTCCAGAAAGAGAAGAAGTTAGATGAAAAGGGACACATAATAGGTTCTCCACAGCAATAAGACATTGTGATTTTCCTACATTCCTGAAATTGAATATCTGGAGAGTGAAATTTTTGTGCTGTTCTTTTTCTATTTGTTTAGGATTGCTGTTTGTGGCAATTATCCACCACAGAACTTTACAGCATATTAGTTTATAATCCTCAGCATGGCAAAAATTTTAATGGAAGTTTAGCTGACAAAGCAACTTTAAATAAAACCCAGTGAGAACTCAATAATAAAATAAATATTCATAATGCCTCTGATCTCCAAAATCTTTCCCTCTGCATGCTTTTTAACTAAGCAAGTATTAAAAGGAGATTTCCCAAGAAAAGTAACTAAATAGAGGTCATAATTTCAGTATTTAGAAATTCTTTAATTATTTAAAACATTTTAAAGTTAATTACATCAAAAGTGACACTTTTACTCTTATAAATTATTATAAGTAGAACCAAAATATAGGAAGTGTTTCTAAAACATACTGAGGCATTAATATAAATCTGGAAGGAAGTCTTTTTAAATTTGAAATTATATCTACATGTATTCTCTGATCACAAACGTTCAGGAACAAGACTGTGAACAATTTTATAGTCTTAATGTCCACCACTCCTCTGCATCTCATTTTGCTCTTAACAGATTGTTCTTGCAATCATATCTGCTTTCCTGTTTGGTTTTTCACATTCCTGCCCTGGAAATTTCTTATAGACATTTTCCTGTCTGGATTGTCTTCACTTTCTGCCCCACCCCAATTTATAAAACCTCCCTGCAAGTCCCAGTTCAAGCCTAACTTCCCGCTTAAAGCATTTCTGGACCTCAGCTAAGCACAGGTGACACTTTTTGGAATTAGCACATTTATTGCTTATATCACTGATTTGACATCTATACACATACTATAGTAAGCCTGAATTGAATTGTTGACTTTTTAATTTACTTTTCCGTACAATGCATCATATCTTCCAAGAAAAGTCCTGCGTTCCACAAGGGCTAATTTATGGTTCTATGTAAATTAATCTTTTAAACCCTGAAGGAACCATCACAATGTTATTACATAGGAAATTCTTGGTAAATATCAGTATAAAGCCAATGAATGAATGGATTTCTCTGCAAAAAAAAGATATTGTTAAGATTGATAGGAATAAATTTAAATATATACCAAAGTATAAAAATATATGAAGACTCAAATGAGAACAGAATCTATTTGTGCTGAACTTGCTCTAACAAGGGAGTCAGTCACTATTACTTGCATTTAGCAGAGACTTGAAGGCAGGCAGAGGAGTTTAAAAGCTTTATAGTGAGGAACAAAGAGAACATTTTACAAATGCTGCTATTGAAGGTTGCTGGCACGAGGAAGCTGGAGGCAGGCTAACTAGAAGGGAGGCAACCTATGTGATTGGTTTGGGGAGCATATTTGGGTTTCTCCAGTCGGTTCTGATTTGGAAGTAGGGATGAGGGGTGGTAAAACTTAGGGAAGCTGTCAGTTGTTGATCAAGCTCTGACTGTTTGGGATCAATAGCTGCAGAGGTTGTAGTTTGGCTTCTTGGGCTGGTCGCTGCAGAGGTCGTGGGTCAGAGTTCTGTTGTCATAAATGGCTTGACTGTATGTATCTGTTAGTATATTAGATATCTTAAAATATAATACTGGCTTATATGTTTATAGTACTTTAAAGGGTGCTTAGATTTGTATAGACTCTATTTCATTTGATCTTTAGAACAGTTCTCTGGACCTGACAGGTATTAACACTCTAATTTTACCAAAGACGTGACTTAAAGAAGCAAACCATCTTGCTTAACATATCAAATCTAGTAAAAGAGATATTCATGCTTGGACTCACATATTCTGAATTCGAATTGAGACTTAAGAAGGAATAATTGTGAATATGTGTGGAATCAGGCTAGGACTGGTACACATAGTTGAGGGAAATTCCATAAAATTTCTGAAAGTTAGAAGAACATGTTGAGAATCTGAAGGGTAGTTGGAAAAGTAGAACATCACTCAGAATATGGGTAAAAGATTCTGAGAATATTTGGAAGTAGAAATGTGAGTGGTAGCTAAAGCTTAAATATTTTATAAAGGGATTAAAAAAAGGCAAAAAGCCTCAACCTGTCCAGTTGGAATTTCAGTTCATTCCTTCTAACATGGATGCAGGTCTGTGCCCTCTGGGTATTTGCGGTCTTATAGAACAGAAAGACTTGTAGCAGGGGCGTCAGTGCAATTTTAAGAAGCTTACAACTTGATCTAAGAAGTTTACTAGAGGAAATGTTTAAGAGATATTCAGAGAGTAAAAAGGAAGAAGGGAAAGGGTTTACTATTTATCAAAGTGTTGTTTACCAAAGTCCTTTGAGCAGAAATGTTAACTGAGAAAATAGTGCTGAAAGTAAGAATAGCTCCAAAAAGGTAGCAATAATTCAGTAGTGAGATGATCCTGTTACTATTAATTGCTGCCTTAAAGCTAGAGAGAAAGCACGAGGCATATAAAAGCATGTGAAAAGGAAAATTCAGGCTTTTAAACAGGCCTGGATGAGGATACAAAGAATGATGAACTAGAAAATTTATTTAAGGATTTGTCAAAAGCTTAGTGGCTTTGCTTCCTTTAATCATGGGTCAATTGTCACCTCCTGTGTGAATACTCCCTGATTGTTCCCTCCCTCTCCACTCCTATAAGATGTATGCATGTTTTTCCTAGAATTTGACCATGACTATTTGCTATTACAGGCAAATATTATTATGATGATGGTGTCATTACCATTGGCACTATATTCATTCTAGCTCTAATATGTTCTACTTATCTTCTTATCAAATAACAAGCTTGTCACACTGCAAAATTTGGTCATTACTATAATTTATGGAAATAACAGACACCAGGCAATTTCTCATAAATGTCAATTCATCACCATCTAAATGAATTCTATTTTTTTTTAACTGTGAGGGGATTCTCTAAAAACCCCATTAACACTTTCTCTGTGCCACAGTAACAGCTGCCTTTCCTACAGACTCCCAACCTGTAGGTCTACATTGCATGTCCCGTTTCCCATACTTCATATTCCAGGGAAGAGCCAACCTTTCTTGGTAGATGTCTGAATGATAATAACCTAAAAGTGGCTGCTGTGAGGTAAATGTGCTGCTTGTGGGATGCTTGTGGACTTCAGTCTCCATGGGGGGATGGTGAATTTTCAGTGTTACTACATTGTCGTATTTACTATTCCTCTATATATTCCTCTGCCCAGAGCATCCCAAGTAAAGTGGGTATTTGGGGAGCTGGTGGCTTCATTTCATCCATAGGAAAGTTAAACTGAAACTACTAGACTAGCATAATATGTAATATCAAGTAGAAATGTTTCAGCTTTGGCTACCACTCACATTCCTACTTGATTTATGGAGCACAGTTATCGGGAGGGATATTTTCCTGTTATCCAGGTAAATTTATGAGAGTGGAAAATACAACACACAAGTCAGCTACTTGATGTCTCCAACTGTGCTCTGTAAATGCAGTGTTTGATCATAT